GGCAGATGGAACGTACACTTCTCTGGTACTCTTCATTCAAAATGATCTATTTACCTCCTTGACTTTGAAGTAGGAGGAAGTGGAGACGTGGGGACGGTTTGATTACAACATACTCACTGGAACTTGAGTTTGGTGATAACTGGGCAGCCACCTCAGAAACGGTGAATTTAGCGTGAGCACAACATTTGTCAGGTACTAGCGGCTGATAACGACTGATTCAATCCCGTGACTTTGGGGCTCGTGGAAGTGCAGTAGATGGTTTCTTTTATTGAAAGGCTTATTTACTGGGCCTTGCGACCGGAAAGGTGTTTGGCAGATAGACAATCACTCCCGCGACTATGAATTTGTCGGAAGTGCAGTACTCCTCTATTACTTCCGCGACTATGATGTTCGCGGAAGTGGAAAGGTGGTTAAGGTTTGATAACAACACACCCAGTGGTACTCCTCTGTGATAACAACTTAACCACTTCCGCAACTTTGGAGTTAGCGGGAGTGCAATGCCTCTCAGGGAGTCTTGTTTGATATCGTCTGTATCAATTCCGTGACTTTGGGGTTCGCGGAAGTGCGTAGATGGTTACTTTTATGGAACCGCTTATTTACTGGGCCTTGTGACTGGAAAGGTGTTTGGCAGATAGACAACCACTCCCGCGACTATGAATTTGTCGGAAGTGCAGTACTCCTCCGTTACTTCCGCGACTATGATGTTCGCGGAAGTGGAAAGGTGGTTAAGGTTTGATAACAACACACCCAGTGGTACTCCTCTGTGATAACAACTTAACCACTTCCGCAACTTTGGAGTTAGCGGGAGTGCAATGCCTCTCAGGGAGTCTTGTTTGATATCGTCTGTATCAATTCCGTGACTTTGGGGTTCGTGGTAGTGCAGTAGATGGTTACTTTTATGGAAAGGCTTATTTACTGGGCGTTCGACTGGAAAGGTGTTTGGTAGATAGACAACCACTCCCGCGACTATGAAGTTGTCGGAAGTGCAGTACTCCTCTATTACTTCCGCGACTATGATGTTCGCGGAAGTGGAAAGGTGGTTAAGGTTTGATAACAACACACCCAGTGGTACTCCTCTGTGATAACAACTTAACCACTTCCGCAACTTTGGAGTTAGCGGGAGTGCAATGCCTCTCAGGGAGTCTTGTTTGATATCGTCTGTATCAATTCCGTGACTTTGGGGTTCGCGGAAGTGCGTAGATGGTTACTTTTATGGAACCGCTTATTTACTGGGCCTTGTGACTGGAAAGGTGTTTGGCAGATAGACAACCACTCCCGCGACTATGAATTTGTCGGAAGTGCAGTACTCCTCCGTTACTTCCGCGACTATGATGTTCGCGGAAGTGGAAAGGTGGTTAAGGTTTGATAACAACACACCCAGTGGTACTCCTCTGTGATAACAACTTAACCACTTCCGCAACTTTGGAGTTAGCGGGAGTGCAATGCTTCTCAGTTAGTCTTGTTTGATATCGTCTGATTCAATTCCGTGACTTTGGGGTTCGCGGGAGTGCGTAGATGGTTACTTTTATGGAACCAGGAGAGGTGGTTAAGGTTTGATAACAACATAGTATTCGCCTGTGATAACAAGTTAACCACTTCCGCAACTTTGGAGTTAGCGGGAGTGCAATGCTTCTCAGTTAGTCTTGTTTGATATCGTCTGATTCACTCCCGCGACTCTAATGTTCTGGGAAGTGCTAAGATGGTAACTTCTATATAATAGCTAATTGACTGGCTTGTGACTGGCATTTGTATTCCAGAACTATAATGCCACTTCAGAAACCATGAAGTTGACCGAAGTGCAGCACTGATCAGGGACTCATCTTTGATAAGGAGTTTTTCACTTCTGGCTCTTAGGTTCTTGTGATTGGTAGCGACATACCATCATCAGCATCTTTGGGTAGGCTGAGTTCATTGCTCATCGGTAGAAAACCTTGTGTCAACTATATGTACAAATCATAATTTTTGGGGTTCATAATATTGCTGTCTCCATAGTAGTTTGGGTTGGTTCCAGTAACTAAAGATTTGAGTTCACAACATTGGTATGAATTTTATAATGTATCTCTTGATAGGCTCCTTTTAAGTCATGACAGGACCTTCTTTAAAGGTTGAGTAGACTCTGTTACTTTCCTTGTCATGGGTGGGCCAACTGTGAGATAATGAACTGGTTCAAGTGGGGCTTAGTCTCCCACGATCTGGGGGCCCTTTGTCTATATAAGGAGGGTCTCCCCCCCCCCCCCCAGGAGGTCAGCCCTTTGGATCTTAGAGTGGAAATCTTTTCTCCAGAAAATCTGGTTTTACTTGTTCCTCAGACCTACCCAGTTTGATACTACAACAACAATGAGGTCCCCCTCTTCAGAACATTCATCTCAACAACACCCCTGTAGAAAGGAACATTGTTTCTTTGTCATTTCTCAGCAAAACCCAACTCAAGAAGCATCAGAGAGTAGCTCACCCACCCTCATGGTCTCTTGCACGATCTTTTGGGACCAATGAGACATTGGGGCTCACTAGACAAGGATAACGGACGATTTGCTTGCCCTACTGAAGGATGCCTTGAAAGCACTGAAGACCCGGTCAGAATACAACGGCACGTCAAGAACTGTGATCCAGCTAGGTTTCAACAGCCAAGGGTGATGACAGTGCCACCAAGAGACTTTGTGACTCTGGTGCCACCTGGAGATCAACTGGTTGGTAAGTACTTACCCTTAGCCTTGCTACCCCCCTTTTCTTGGGCTCAGCTAATATTGTTTTATTAAGTTGTGCCTGAGCACCCAAGGCTTGCTTACAACAAATATGCAGACATTGTCATCTGTACCACCTGCCATACTGGCCTGGACACACCTGAAGTTCAAGCCCACCTGTTCAATGCTCACAAAGAGAAGGTCAGACAGGAGGATGTAATCCTTAACTTCTCTTCACATGGTGTCTCCCTTCCATCGACTGCGCCCAAATATCCTGTCTCTCGGAGTGGACGTCTAGACCTATGCCAACCAGTTGAAGGCCTCTTCATGTACTTGGGGTACATTTGTACTGCTGATAATCATGGGGAACAGTGTGGGCATACTGTTCGGAAACAGGATTCTATGAAAAATCACTTTCGTCTGGAACATACTGGTTAGTCACTGCTAGATTCTTATGTTTTGCTTATAGACAGTGGGTTGAATAATTGGCTTTGTTCTGATTGTCTTTCTAGACTCTAATGGGCATTGGAAGGACAACTGTAAAAGAAGTTATGTACAACACTTGGTTCACAAAAAGAGGTACTTTTGCGTGGATCGTGTTCCAGCTGCGCCGACCGTGATAAGTGGGATACTTGAAGGAGACGAATGGAGGCCTCAAACTATGGATACTCCTCTGACGGAGAGATGGGAGCAACTCAAAGATGCGCTTTCAAATCTGGATGTCTTTTTGGTTCCAGAGGCCAATGCCAATACCGATGTCCACGCTTCCTTGGTCAGCAATTTTCTGGAGAGCTCAGGGATTCACAAACACATAGGCGCCTGTTTGTCATCCATTGGTTGCACCCCTGTTCAGCTCTATGACCTAGTCAACTACCTGGATGAGATGGACGACTGGATCAAATACGTGGAGGGGTGGATGTTGACAAGAATGAATTCCTTGAAAGAGGCTCATTATGGACTTAGAAAAGAAGGATTGAAAGAATCCACGTGAGTTTGTTGGGTTTATTCTATTCTTGGGCAATTTTGTTTGTCTTGTTTTGGGGCTTCTGCTGATGTCTATTATTTGTCTTATCCCCAGGGAGAAGGAAGCTCCCACAGTTGGACTGTCTCCCTTGCAGGAGAAACAGACTAGGAGCAGATACGCAAGGACGATTGCCAAGATGCTGCTGTTCACTTGGAAGACGTTTGATACTCCACTGGCGGCTTTCTGGTCTAGACGTCAACTACGACTGAAAACTACTTTGGCGAGCCTCTCTAGATGTGTCGGAAATCCGTTGCCCTCTCATGAAACCATCAACCAGTTGCTAGATTTGGCTATGTTTCAGTATGTTGGCTTTTCTTGCTCTCTGGCGAAACTCTCGAGGGTCCAATCGGCTGTGGAGCAATTCATAGCGCTCTCTATGATCCAAGAAGATGGATCCTTCTTTGCGCCCCTCGAATTGACTCATAACATTGCAGCGGTGCAATATGGAATTCGACTAGGCCTGACTTTCCACTGGGTGGCTCTAGCGTCGGAGATGGATGATGAAGAATTGGAAGAAGACGAAGAACAAGACCTGAGCAATGATGCAGAGATGGCGAAAATGCGGCAACACTTCTCTTGGATTTCGCAAGACTCTCGAGCATCACCTTTTATGACTCTCAGGGACTGGATGAGACTGGGCTCTACCTTCATCATGAATGAGCAAGTGCCTGACGAGACGCACTGGGTGGACTCTGAAATGACCCGTCTGATGATTGGCCCTTCGACAATTACGATTAATGGGGTCCAAACAAGTCTCCGGGCGGTGATCACTTCTCTTCGAACGGAGTTCCAAAACGTACTCAAAGGGGTCACTCTGCCTGATTTCTTGGCGACTGAACTTGTGGATGATTCTCGAAATACTAGCCTTCATTACAACTACCTAGTGCCATCGACCAATGAACAGCTGTATCGACTGAAAGTGCTCAAGGATTGGACTCTGAATGGTAATCCTCAAAAAGTCCTTGCTCCCAACTGGGAGGAGGTTATCCAAGTTCCAAATCCAAATCTTAAGCGGTTATGGGCACCTGGACCTGCGTGGAGATGGCTCAGAAAGAACAGATATCTTGCTTGAATACATCTACTTCATGTACCATGTTGGTTGTGGGCAACCTGCTAGGGGAACTGAGGAGACTTGTATGCTCATTCGGAATACGGAGTCTGCGCCGAGGAACATTTACTGGCGAGGGAATCGAATGATGTTACAGACATGGTATCACAAAGGGCAAAACATCACTCACCGATCGAAACCGAGGCAGGTCTATTTGACTGGGGAGCTTTCAATGCAGCTCCATAACTACTTGGCTTACATTAGACCTGTACAATTGTAAGTTCTGTTGGCAGACCTTTTGTGATGATAGGTTGGAACTGATAAAAGCCTTGTTTGAACAGGGCTATTCTGTCTGGCCTTGGTAGGGTAGATACTGCCAAAGATATGCAAGATTATCTTTGGGTCAGCTCTAGGAAGGGACGGTTGGAAACAAACGACTTTACTCGGATCATGAAGAAGTTCTTCCCCCTTGGAGGAAACGATGCTCTGGGGATGCGGTCTTGGCGACAAGCGTCTGTTGCAATTGCATCAGCCCACCTCAACAAGAAGATTCCAGCTCAGTTACTGCCTGATGAAGACACCATTCGACAAGACTTGGAAGAAGATATGGGTCTCAACAATGTGATGGATCTTCAGCGCAATCACACTTCGATGACGTCAAACTTGCTTTATGGTGGCAGTAGTGGAAGTGGAGTAGCAAGAGATGGGGAGACTAATTTTATGAAGGCTAGTGAGGCTTGGCAGGCTTTCTGGCGTGTAAGTCATGTCTTGTGCTTTCTGATTAAAGTGAGGAGTGGAGGCTGATTGCATCCTATCCCTGGATTGTGGCAGATTGATTCTTTGCTGGCATGTAACCAGCCGATTCAGCCTGTTGCTGATGAGGTTGCCCCAGCTGATAAGGCCAGACAAGCCCTGACGATCTTCACAAAGAACCCAAATGCTCGATTCGCGTCTGATATTCAGCACAATGGGCTTACGGAGCTCTTCAGGGAGAAGTTGTGGGACCTCCTGGTTGTCTCAAAAACGGGAGGTGGTAAATCGCTGGCTTTTACTCTGCCTCCGTTGGTGTTTTTTCGTGAAAGAACAATCGTTGTCCAACCACTCAGGGCCCTCATTAACCAGACGATGAATGACCTCCAACGGCTTGAAGGAGTCAAAGCTCAACTCTACCAACGGGATACTAGATTGGACAAGGAGGCTCAAGTGATTGTGGCACTTGCTGATCATGCGGCTTCTTTGGACTTTGCGAACCAACTCAGGACGATGCAGCCCACGCGAATTATCATTGATGAGGCTCACTCTTTTCTAGAGGATGGATTTCGCAAATACATCCCTGGAGTGGTAGCCTTGGGCCAGATCTGCTGTCAAATTGTCCTCTTGACTGGCTCCCTGCCTCCTTCTCAAGAACAAGACTTGCTCAGCGGTATCTTTGGACGAACCCGTATCAATGCCCTTCGGGAGTCAACATTCCGACCTGAATTGAATATTGAAGTGCATTCGGAATTTGCATGGCCAAACCAGCTGGCTGATATGGCGACCCCTATGATTCACAATTACGTAGTGAACCCTGAAGACCGGGCAATGATCTTCATTGAGAATCGGAAGGATGTCGGTGATGTCGCAGAACAACTGGATTGCTTTTTTCACCACTCGGGTCTGACAGATGAGGAAAGGGACTCCAATGCGGCTGCGTGGCTTGGAAAAGATCGTGGAGTCATAGTGGCTACTAGTGGCTTTGGCGCAGGGATTAACTATGCTCATGTGCGACTAGTCATCATCTACGGAATTCCTAATGAATCTGAGGCCAACAAGGTCTATCAGCAGATTGGAAGGGCTGGTAGGGATGGAAAAGAGGCAAGGATTGAGCTGATACCTGGACCAATCGATTATCCAATTGGGAATGCAGAAGACCAACCAGGAATGGACGACTTCAAGAAGGCTCTGGTCAACCCAATGAATTGTCCGGCCCAAGTATTCTCCAGACTAGAAGATGAGCAGGCCATGTCTTGCAAGAACTATCCGCCTTTTCAACAGTGCCTAGCTTGCAGAAGGCACTCAAGAACCCTGGGTGTCAGAGGCCCCTACGAACTACCACCAAGACCTCTTCCTATTCAGCCAAGTCCAATTCAACAGGACTCTGGCAGCAACACCACTGATGCCCAATTCCACACTTCTCCAAGAGCTTCAGGCATAGATGATGTGGTGTTGGTATCAGTGGGAGGCTCCAATCGAAATTCCTTTGGTAAACGACTGAGGACTCCTGATATCATGGAAACAGGAACTGAAGGAATGGATGAGGTACAGTTTCGGAAGATGGCTAGGGTGGCAGAGGAGAGGAGAATTCAACATAGCAGCCAGATACCCACCTTTTCCAAGCAGCCTTCTTCTGTCAATCTGGTAGACTCAACCAGTGCGGTAGAATTACATGCGGAGGAAGACCATCAAGCATCTCTACTGAAGGATTTCATTGCCAAGATGGATGGTAATTGTCCAGCCTGCTATTTGTGGTCAGGTGACTATGTTCGACATGACAGGGGGTGTGATTGTGAAGTTCTGAAGAACAGGTGCCTTAGATGTAAAGCAAGTAAGTGGGATGTTATTCCAAAGGTGCCTGCAGGTATTGAAGCTGACACTATCTTTTGGCTATCAGGACAAACGGGCCCACAAGCCCATACTGCGAGAGCCTGTCAGGCTTTACCTCCCTCCAAGTCATTGACAACTGGTACAAAGGCAGTGGGTTACACAGTATGTTTTGCTTGTGCTTTGCCCACCGTTGGCCGTGACAGGCATAAATTCCACCCTAACCGTAGGATTGGCCAAGCTTGTGAATCAGGATTGGGTGATTCTGGTGAAATACTGGCTTGGCTCATGTATTGGGAGAAACATGACCTCCTGAGAAAACAGTTCCCTTCTCTTCTTGATTTCAGCCCTGTTGATTATTCTTCTTGGTTAGGAAAGACTGAGATGTCTGTGAGCCGCATAGGATGGCCGAATGTTGTAAAATTATTAGTAGCCTTGATCCAATATCACGAAAGTGATAGCTTGATATTGATTAAATGATATTACTCTACTATTTTCCCTCTTGCTATCTGATATGCCCCTGGGTTCCTATATTTGTTTGTTATTAGGTTGCTGGATTGTTTCTTTGGGTGATCCCTCATTGTGTTGGCACTTATTTCAGGATGTGTAATGCTAGTTGCTCATTTGTTTCTGCCTGAATGCAAGTATGATCTGTTTAGATGCTTTAATTATGATCCAGAGTGTGAGGGCTAGGAACATCATCACCTGAGTGGCATCCAATGTCTTTGACTTCCTCATGCTTGGGTGAAGCATGTGCATGACTCTACAAGAGGGCAACTTGAATTGATGTTGGGTTAGGGTTATGAACCCATGATGATTCAGTGTTATGGTTAGGGGCAGCGAGAATGGATTAGCCACTGGGTTGGGAAATGAGTGCAACTTTGCAGAGGTTGACTCTGATCTGGGCCAATGTCAAGTAGTTAGTGTTTGGGGGGGACAGGAGAGGGCACATGATACTTGAATTGGGTCACAGGGTTAGGGTTAGTCATGGCGTATAGTAGAGGTGCGGAAAAACCCAGATGGGTCCAGTGATCAAGGGGTGGGGTAGGGTTAACCCAGGACACCCAGGAGATCACGCAATGTGGTTATACATGAATACATGTGTCCAGCAGAATTGGTCCCACGTGAGGATGGACATGTTGAGCTGAGGTGGATACCCAGGGGGCCTGCTCATGGGGACACAAAACATAATAGGGTGCATGATGGATGATTCAGGCCCCAGGGGGCTGGGTTAGTCACGGATCAAGGGTTAGGGATAGTTGAGGTGGGAGAGCTAGGGTCAACCCAGGAGACCGAGAATACCAGGGGAGATGGTAACACAGGAGACAGGGTTAGTGGTCACCCAGATGACCAGCTGAAGTGGTCACCCAGGAGACCAGTTGGGGTAGATACCCGGGGACAAGCAGATGTGGACACCCAGGTAACCCGATGTTGACCCCAGGCAACCCGGATAACCCGATAGGGTTAGGGTTAGGGTTACAAGGGACTCCCCAGGGCCAGGGTAGCAAGATTCTACCAAGTTATATTGCATAATAAGCTCCATATTGCATAATAAGCTTCATATTGCATGATAAGCTTCATATTGCATCAAGTATTGCATTGCATGATGAATTACATTGCATACGTCCCACTTATCAGCGAGGAATTGCATATCAAAATGCTTGCACAAAATCCAACAAAGTTAACATATTAAACCCCCAAACTGTATGATTTATTTAGCCCCCAAACTGCATGATTTTAATCCCACAAAGCCAATGTCTGAAACCCCCAAACTGTATGTTTTATCCCCTGAACTGTATGTTTAACCCCCAAACTGTATGAATTATCCCCCGCAGAAACTGTATATCAAATGACCCGCATAATTTTTTTTTTGGTGCCAGGGGGTTTTGAACCCGTGACCTCCTCAAAAACAATGCCAAGCCGCTGTCTAACCATTGGTTTATTTCAACTTGGTATGTTTTTGTTCCATGAGGGAACACAACCACAGGGCCTCACTTTTTCACTTGGTCACTAACAATTCAAACTAACATACAACACTTTCAAACTACCTCAGCTTCCACCATTAGAGCCATGAAAACATATTCCATCACAAAAAAAAACAAACAAACATCCATTCCTCTCCTCACCAACTTATACACCCACCAACCACATTCCTCCTCCAATATCCAACAAACATGGACATTTCAACCCAATTTTATACAACAATCTGTTAGTATTTCAGCTCTCTTTTTTTCTCTTTCTCATCATAAGCATATTTCCTAGCACACATTCCGGTCATTATTAGAATAAATTAATACTCACTTCATCACATAACCTCCATGTTTTCTTATCTATTTACAGCTTGATTTTGCTGATCCAGAAATACAAATCATTCATTCTTGTACCTTTTCCCTCATCAATCAACACAATCAACCACCTTCTCCCTCTGATGTAAAAAACCAAGCTTATCAACACAACTCACCCAACCAACAGCAACCACCATCTCAAAACACAACAAAACATTCCATCCAAACACAATTCACCTCTTCCAAGTCACCCCACCACATTCTCCCAACAACAACCAGCAATAAAAAATGATCCTATCAGAAAAGATATAGATAATAACTTCCACATTTCAAATCAGCCAACAACAAATTAACAACACCAGAGTCAACTTGCACAACAACACACAATCAATGCTTCTCTTTCCACCAATAAACAACAATTGTCCTCAGAAATTAAATCAAATTTACTAAAATTTCCCCATTCACCAACTAAAAGCTCAATAAATATGTTCCTCCTGTGGACTCTTCCACTGCTCCTACAAACCAGAAATTCAAAACAACATAATCCTTCATGCTGCATCAACTGACTTGTAGAGCAAACCAGTGCAACAAGAGCTCAGATGGTCTATAGTTGACAAGATCCGCAGACTCAAAGGTGATGGGCTGCCGAACTTGCCATACAAATACCAGAGCTCCCGTTGTGCCGGCTGGTCCAACAAGTTATTTGATGAAGCTGATCAACTTCCTTGTTTCTCTCAACATCAACTTTCTTCCAAAGTAAAACCATCTTTTTAACAAAATGCTCCCCCACACCAAATATTTTTTTAAATTCTTGAGCCCCTCATTTCAACCCAATGAATTGTTGTTGTCATTGTAATACTGGCTTTTGAATCCAGGTTGAATGTTTTTTTTAATTTCTACCTTTCTGACTTGTATTAGTTCATTTTTTTTTCTCACCCCATGTATTCAAAACAATGCACTTCAGACATTCCTGAAATATCTTTAACCCATTGATGCTAGCTGTGTAAGTAAGCAATCAAACCATATCTGGAGAAATCTTCATCTCAGTAAGGTCAAAACAAATATAAACAAGAAAGGAAAAAAACCAAACATGACTGAAAGGTAAAAGGTTGTTTGCAAAATTTATGAACAAGAAAAATTAAAGAATCAAAAGCAGAACTGGAAAAAGGAAACATGAATATTCAGTGATTGTTCACAAAATTTCAAAACAAAGAAATGCTTACACAGTCACAAGTGGTGGTGACAATAAAAAACACCAAATCTTCCTTTCCAACTGTAAATGAAGTAATTCCTGGGAACCAAGCGTTCATCATCTTCGTCAATGTAACGTGGATTGAATTCTCGCAAGTTAGCAATTCCATCATGAATCCAAACAAGTACAATTCTTGCACGATATTTGTTTGATACTTCCCTCAATAGCCCTGGCATCTCTGAGGAATGAAACTCAGGAGGGTCTTTGAGCGGGTTGTTGAGAACATGGGGCCTGGTTTCGCATGACATTCTGATCTCGTTATGTCTTCCTTGACTGCCATATATCCAAAAGCTGAGTGCACGCCATATGGAGTCCTTGTTGTCTGGAAAAAGGTTGATTGAAAATCTCCATCCAACATATTTGAAATTCCCCAACTCGAAATAGGCTGTCTTGGCAACTGCACGGCACTGGGGATTGCATGATTTTTTCTGGTGGAATATATGAATCCCAGAAGCTGGACCAAAATTGACTGTCTTCAAGTCTTCAATGGTGGGCATGGAATACGACTCCAGGGTTAGAATTGGCTTTTCACCTGTTGGGATTATTTTGAAGCGTTTCTGGGGCGGTGAAGTATCCCAATTGGAGGTTCCCAAGGTAGATTTTTCTGAAGGATGATATATCTGTACCAGCAATGTATGGTCGAGGGATGGTGTTGATTGCGTGTCGGAAAACAAAGTGGTATTACCTGATAAGCGTGTTTGAAGATCAGAGTTTTCGGGACCAACTACTGGCTGATGAATCTTTGGTGCCCACATGATTTGGAACCGTCTGGAAACGGAATTGAAAATGAAGTATAGACAGGGAAAAGCTGTATTCTGGTGTCCAGCTGGTGAGTACTGCATCCAATTAGCAGGGCTTGGCCCCATCACCACCTCAACAAAAGTAACCCTCAACATGGTTGCAGCAGTAGTATATACTACTTTGTCTGGTTTTTTACCATCAAAAACCAATTGGAAAGCCTTCTTTATTTCGCCAACAGAGAAAAGGTTTTTGTTTTCCACATTCACCAATCTTGATGACTTTTGTTGATCCCTTGACATTTGAGGTAGTTGACCTCCCAATTGGTCGGCCAAGCGCTTTTGGAAAATTGCATGGCCATCTTGTGTGCCGGTCATCCAGTAACCAACTGCATGGTAGAAGCCAGTAATATCTGGAGCCGAGACAGACCGTGATGTTTGAATGAAGTCATGTGAAATGCGCCAACCATCCAAAAGGCCCTCGGGGATGGCAAACCGTATGACGCCATAAGGAAGAGTCTTCTTGTTTCTTCCAGTTTCCAACCGCAACCGTTCGTTTAATGTGTTCCAATAGCCAGAAACAACAGGCAATCCATGACTCTTCTCCAATCCAGGCATCCTGTTTCTCTTCTTCTTCTTCAATTTTTCAGGAAGTGGATGAGTCCCAGCAAAGGCAAAAGTAGGAGGAACTACAAAATTTGGATGTTTGAGTGGAGGAGAGTTTTTCGGTGAGGTGGGATTCTGATCTTGGCTTTTACGGATGCTTGCAATTGTGGAAATGGATGGGGCATTAGAGTTGGGGGGAGATTGAAGTCTTGGGTCAATATGCATCATAGTTTCGCCGGTGGTCATTGTTTTCTCA